TCATTCATCTTTAATTTAAACTTGGGTATTGGTTTTTTAGCCCAACCTGTATATCCTTGTATCATTGCTCAAATGTTACTTATATCCTTTAAACTAACATTTTACAATTATATCCCTATGGTGAGTGATAACATTATATGTATTGCACTGGAGAATGTCACTTCTTTCATGCTCAAGATGACATGACTTACACGCTGAAGTATCTCAAGGATTCATTACTTAGACTTTAGGAAATGTTTTAAATCATGCACAATAATCAAATCAACTTGAACAGGCAGAAATAGGAGATTTGGAAAGAAGTCAAGAAAATAGGATTCAGATATCGAGATTCAGATGCATGATTCGATTTTAGGAGGAAAATTAAGAAAATTAGAGATGTTGAATAAGTTAGGAGACAACACAGGTAAAACAGGAGATGTTAAAAACTAAAACATTTACAAAATTCCTTTCAAAAGAGGGGGATTGAAATAAAACAAGAAATAAAAGGGATTTAAGAAGAAGTCAAGAAGTGTATTTTCAAAAATGATCATTCAAGGTACCCGCGAATTTTCTTGTGAAATAAAATAAAAAATCATAAAAATCAGAGGAAAAATGAGGTTTTAAAGAACAAAAAAAATCTTAAAAGATAAGTGAATTAAAAAATACAATCAGGAGCTGGTAGCTGATTGTCTTTCTAGTTGCTCAAAGAAAGCTCTTCATTATGAACTCATGTGTACATGTTATTAGTTCCCTGCTCTATTTTCTTTATAGCTTGATAATCAACGGAAACAGAAAATAATTGGATCGAAGGAATGAACTCTTGTAGGATAAGAATACACGTTTATCGAAGGTAAGTCTCTTTGCATGTTTTACACATATTCTTTTATAAAATTAATGCCTGTTAAGCAGGGCATATTACGTATAGCTATCAATCCAAATCCTCCAAAGTTAAACCATTTTAAAAAATGATTCTCGACAGTTAATTTATCCAAAGAGGTCTTCCATAGTAAACGTTGTGTTTCAACAGTGTACTGAAGACGAAGATAGATGTTACAGGTAGACAAGATGTTACATGTAATATTATGTTTTTTGAGTCGCATGTGTAACTACATAGGTGATGTTTTGAAACAAAGGAGAACATTTTAAAACATCAATCTTTTTTCCACATTTTACCTTTACTCTTTTGTCGCCGCCGTTGGTGTAAGTAACAACATTCATGACACTTTTCATATCAGATAATTACATTCTATCACATAATTCGTCGTGATACAATAGAGAGGTTAAGCAATACGCCTTAAGAGAACCTGTACGTTAACCTATAGATATGAGTCATTTTTACTCTCTACCTCTCAACTGGTTTTCCAGGGACCGAATTACAACTAATTGCATCATGTATCTTTGTACTCAGTCGGGCAAGAAGATACTACGAAGGGTAGAATTCCAAGATGACCATAAATCTATAAATTCACGTTCTATTTAAAACGCGTAGATTAACCTACCTCTTGTCAGGGGGGAAAACTCGTTTAGTATTTTCGTTCGAAAATAGGTAGGTGTAAATCTGTTTGGTAGTCTGTGAACGTTTTGTATTGTTCCGTTACCTACACTACGCTCATCATGTTACAAGTGCATCGGGCATGTCGGGACATCATTTAAATGTAATAAATTGATAGCCATCAATCTAGTTTTTCCAAGAATTTGAAATTTGTGTGTCAGTTAGTTATGACCTAATTTTTTTGAATGAATGGCTATTTATCCTGACGTACTCGCTCGTCGAAGAAACTCCAGGCGTTTCCACCCCCTGTTACTAGGGAGTTTAATTAATCTGGCATAAAAAATCTAAGCGCCACGTATGACTAATCGCCCATACACATTTATCGCTTAAATATTTTCCGTTCACGTTTAGGTTGTGAAAAACATTGCAAGCTTAAACTCCCTACTGTCATATTAGCCCGTAATGATGAATTGTACAGAAACTAGAAATACTTTTTTCGTATCTGATTGTGTGAGGCAACAATACAATAACAACCTTTAGTGATCTTAGACAGCTCATTAAATAAGATAATTAAAAGCGACAATTTGTTTTAATACTGAATTGAGGAAATTGCTTAGTGGAAATAACAGGATTTAAAGACAGCTAGATTGTGATAAGTAGCTTCGATCCAAAGGTATGGCTTGACTCGTGAACAGGGAATGGGTAAAGTGCCACTATTGCGCACAGAAATGTATCTTTGATTAAAAGAACAAAATATGAATATTAATTAACTCGAACAATGTTATTGATAATGTTTGAGGAGGGGTAGAAATTTGTTTCTGTTAGCGTATATCAATTTTTAGTTTGTTTGGCAGTTTGAGTTTCAAGGATATTATAAACCTATATTTCATTTCATTGATAATTAATATTATTTTCAAAAGTGACCCATATGTTTTCCGGAAATGGAGCAAAATATTTTCTCGTATGTTTTGTCTCTCACTTCTGTAACAAAAAAGAACATAAAAATTAAGTGCTAAAGTGAGGCAATATAATCGGATATCAGGAATGGTAACCAGACATGTCAGTTCACACCTTTAATAAACTCGGATATCTGATTGATATCCGGTTTCAACCTCAGTTTGCAGTTTGCAATATCACATCAATATTTCTGTCTCCATATTATTTTTGTACATAAACCGAATCATCAATGACACCTTCAGCATATTTCTCCAGCAAATCATTCTTATTTTTATTCTTCATATTTGTATTAAAGTAATTTCAAGCTTGATCTAAATTTTTGTCGAGGTACTTTATATTATTACGACGATTGTACACACAGTTTAAGATTTGCTTTTATATTTCACATTATTTTCAACATAGTAAGTACATTATTTATACCATCTCGGCCTGATCCAGTGGTCAAACAGGCAGAAATCTTAAGTAGACTTACGGTACTTCTAGTTTACACCAATAACACTATCTGCAATTACCATTTCTTAATTGCAATTAATATTATTTTTAATATCATCATTCACACCAAGGTTAATCTAATTAATGTGTCAAGGTAGAACGTCGATGTTCATTGCGCAGTATTCATTTGATGAAATCAATTTAAATGGTTCAATATCAAATTGATGCAATTTGTTTAAGAGTGTCTATTAATATTGAACGCAAATAAAAATAACGATTGCCATCTATCTATACATACAAAAATACATTAAATATATGGTTTTATTCCAATGACTACATCAACTGACATGAAAAACAAATTATTAAACAAGTTGATGCATTTTGTAAGAGATAATGTTGACTGCATACAAACCACATAACATACAACCTATTCATAAAGGTGTGGTATTCCAAAGAAAAATCATAATCGGCCTAATATAAATAGATTAAATCAATTAATTAATTAATCAATAGTATACTTTCAATGATTACATCAATTGACGTTAATATGATAAATAACAAACCCGTTTTCGTTAACACTTTATAGAGAGTAACTAGATCAAAAACTGGCATCTAATACTGTTATCAATTGATATATTATGCAATACCAATGTTTTCCCCATCTATTAAGTTCTCCTTCTTCATTGGGGCAATGAAAAGCAGTTACCATACTTTAAATTATTGCAATACATATTTCATTCACTATGAAATATATCCTAATAATATAACATGGCAGTGTACTTTGTCAAACTTAAAGTTGAATAGTATATGAAGTTGTAATTCCAGACATGATATTCCAACATCTACCCTGACACCAGCGGTTAGTATTAATTTCTACGCTCTGACTGAAAAAATATAATTTTAGTACTGCTAAGCTAGCCGCACACCAATGGGACATGATGGGACATCAAGGGAGTTTTGAGTAAGATATTTTCATGGGACATGAAGGGACAAGTTCGGACATTCCCATGGGAAATCCTTCGGACATCATGGGACATTGTCCCAAGTTGTCCCTTTTGTCCCAAGTTGTCCCCGGGACATTGTCCCAAGTTGTCCGATTTTATCAAAGTTGTCCCTTTATGTCCCAAGAAAAAAATGAACAAGTTAATTCTTTTCGAGGGACATTAACGGACAAATGAGGGGAATTTTATAACGTGATGATCATATGACCATTTTCGGACAAAATGGCGTTATATTCCAGACACTATTGGACAAAATGGGACAACGTAGGACATTGTTGCATGATGTCTCATGATGTCCGATGGACAAGAGCGGAAAGGTTGGGACAAATCGGACAAAGTTGGACAATGTCCCATTGGTGTACGCCTACGGCTAGCTTTACAATCTTTATTACATCATTTAAGTAGCCTTAAAGGTATATCTAAGCTTATTATGAAGAATATCAACTATGAATAGGTAGATGACAATATGCATGCTGACTAAATGTGACTACTTTAGCTTTTTTGGGGTGGGGGGGCACACGTTTCAACGTTTCTGATTGAAAAGAATTAAAAGAGAGTACACGAGCCTCTCATTACGAATTGCAAGGTTAATTCTCTGAAAAGGATATCCAACCTCATTTATCTGAATCATACTTAAGATATACATTTAGCTGCAGTAACGTTTGACAAGTACTTATGTGAATACTAGATTACAACCCGAACAATCTGATTTATTTTGAAAGGAACCAATTAAACGAAATTGGCTAACGTAATTCCTGTCAAAATCAATTCATAAAGATATCATTCAATAATTACATATTATTCTTTACCAGTATAACCACATGACATTCGACTTACAGCCGTTTAGCTTTCATGAGTTTTTGTTCATCAAGCAATATTCATTGCTAAATACTTTAAGGGTCAATCCGTTTTCCAATCAATCCATTGGTTTGATTCGTGATAAAATTCTAATGGCTCCAGATTTGGTTCCCAAAATGTGGACGTTGAATGCAGCTCAGTTGATGGGGGGGGGGGGTACTTTTTACTTCACCGAATGCATAAGGATACTAAGGCCAGGCCAATAAAACGTTGTTTTGTGTTCTGAATCTATTTTCGTAGATATATATGACTATATGTTAATAAATAAGAACTTTGCATAATTTTGAAATATACCATAGAGCAAATTTATTATAGGTTATTGACCAAGTTTTGATACAAGAAAAAATGAAATAAAATCATCGACCATATACAGTATCCAAGAGCATGAAGAACATGTTTACATGAACACCCTTCTCTATCCAATAGGTGAGTGGTCCCACAGCTCAAAGTTGTTGAAGTACGCATATGTATCTCTCGTACTTCTAGCATTGTATTGGCCACCAAAGGATGTACCAAACCATAATGTGTCGATCTGGAAGTAAAATGTTGTTAAAATGTTTCTTTGAGTGGTACGTCAGCTTTCATTCTCTGTGAACGCCATGCAGTGACAGAACTTGCTATTCGAAGTACAATTAGGGCAGCATGCAATTGCAGCAATATTTGGTGATAGTCCAAATTCTGCATGTGATAGTCCAAATTATCAAAAAACTCACCTACTTTCATTTTAAAAGGCTGCTCATACTGCTTATTTATCAATACGGTTGGGGAAGAATATACTCCTTAGAACGAAATACTACCAGATATCTGAGACCATCATAAAATCATTTTATGTTAGTCTCAGCGGATATATAATACAGATATTTAACATTTCATAATGAGTGAAGAAAAATTCCAGAATATTTGAAGCCGTTGTACAGAATTTATGGTAGTCTGTTATCTACCACAGATGCTTGTTATGGCAGCCATTTAGGAACTTAAATTAGGAGTTGCAGCCCCTACTAGGTTCTTTTATAGTATTTAAAAAATATGAGACGATAAGGAAATGCAATAGTCAATGGGCTGTTCTGTGTGTATTACCAGTAGAAAAAATATCTAGGTTGGTTACTCCTTCAAATGAAAGAATTCACAAAACAATTTTCTCCACTCGATAATGAATATACCAACAAAAAAGAACAAATTCAAGAATGCCTTAGACCCAACGTGATCTAAAAATCAATACTAATTTGGGACTAGTACATACCCAAACATTGGTATTGTTCCGGAAGCTTAAATCGTTAATCTGGAAAACCTTCCTGCCATCGAGGAAAATCTTAGCAATCCCATCGAACTTCCCGGGAGTGTTGAGTTTAATGAATTGCTGTAGCTTGTGCCATCTTCCCCTCTGGAATCTGAAGGCTCCCCTTCCAAGGCCATGTCCGTATTGAAAATTACAGTATATGTTTGGCCTTGAGCAAAAGTCAGGCTTTTGAGAAGTAGGACTGAAACGAATGGCAACCTCTTTCTTAAGATGATTGTTAAAGTCCAACAACCCATCAATACAAATACCTTTCTGTCATTTCTGACAAGGATAATTTGATTTGTATGAATGTAATTTGCTAGATATGATTTGAATTAGGGGGAGGCTAGTTGAATTACATGCGGAATTACCAAATGTACAATAAACTATAATACCTATAGAGGTAGACCTCTCCAGTTCCATTGGCACGCCACATGAACCTTGTAGAGAAACATCTGTGATCCACTACACCACCATTACACATTCCCTGGCCTCCCCATAGGCCAGGAATCTTCCCTCCTCTCACAAAGTCAAAATTTGGTGCAAAGTATATGTCATAAGAAAGTGTTCTTGATGTTCCAGGTCTAATTGGTCTAGACTTAAATGATCCACCGCCTCTCATGGATCTGTCTGGGTTTCCTACATAGCTATTCTGGGGGTAGAAAGCCCGCAGTACTGGGCCATTGCCCGATGGATTGGATACCACCTTAAAAACGAAGAATAGAAAACTATTTTATGATTTTTCATTGCTGGATGTTTAATAGAGCTTATTTGAAGACCTGACATTTGACAAGCGGGAGGACGGATTTGGGGCTAAAAAAGATTTTTTTAGAAAATCCCTTTGGTGCACCTTTTTGAATATGGGTCTACTAAAATACTGCATATTTTCCCAAAATTACCATTACACAAGGCATAATTATGTATTTTGGACGGTGTAAAATGTTTACTTGTATAGTAGATCCTCTTCCCCAGTTCCACCTCACCGTACCCCAGTTTCTACCAGGAATGTCTCTTGGGTTCCAGGCCGGTTGTCTCCATAGCACTCTGCCATGCACCACTGCAATGTATTGCAATTCGTCACGAGTACGTCAAATAAATGATGAATGGGTAAATGAGATTACTAAAAGTGAATCTAGGTAGCCCAAATTTGCAATACACAAGAGATGTTGTAATTAAACCTAAGATTTCGACTCTGTTAGCACTCAACTTCGTCTCGTGCCATAACATAATTTCTCGAGCAGAATATATCCTGTATTGCGCATCAAATCGTAATCCGAAGGTATATTGTTGGACAGTTCGATATAATGAAATGCATTAGCAGTACAATACAATTCAATAAACAATAATACCAAGACGGTTTCCGTTATCAGAAATAATTCAATACAACCTTTCACTTAATAACCAGACAGCAAAACATTCTTTAACTGAAATTGTTATTCAGTCTAATAAACAAAATATCATCTTACCAATGATGCAGAGAGAAACAAATGTAAACAACAATTCCATTACTAGCTTTTTTGGGGTTTTAAAAATACCACTCTCATGGAGTTTATCACATCAAATAATTAAAGTATTGATAAAGAAGTTTTGGCTCCAAATGTCTGTTTCCCATGGTTGACATTTTTAATGCAAACATCCCGTCCAAAAATCCCGTCTGTCGAGATGTGTTAACAGGTTTCCAGCCAAACAGGGATGTTTCTACGTATTAGCATTTAAAAGTGATTCTTTTTTGGGCATTGTGGGTAAATGTTAAGGTGCCCGTTTCGAATTAACCGTCTCGAAAAATGTCTATTCTATTCAAAGGTGCGATACTGTTCACTGCGTGACTTGTTCTTCAATATGTGCCTGACTGTCAACAGTTTATAAGGTCCTTGCGGCAATTAGGAATTGTATTTTATTGTATGCAACTCAAATTATAGCAAAGTTGAGTATAGCAAAAATATAAGAAACCATCATCTTCCATATTTCCGAAAGCACAAAATAAGCAACGACCTAGATTTTTCTTAAATATAATTTATTTTCAATAAATGCAACTGATTCCAGATTATCCAATGGGTGAGTGGTCCCACAGCTCAAAGTTGTTGAAATACGCATATGTATCTCTCGTACTTCTAGCATTGTATTGGCCACCAAAGGCTGTGTCAAACCACAATGTGTCAATCTGGAAGTAAAGTAACGTTTTGGATAACATTTCGTTTTACATGTAATGTAATTTCACCAAATTTTGGATCTGGGCAATGTTTATATCTCAAGAAAACTATTAGAAAACAGAATTCATCAATTTCAGAAGACACTAGCTCAAATGTGATATCACCATCAATACTAATAGGAGAGTACATACCCAAACATTAGAGTTGCTTCGGAAACTTAGATCATTAACCTGGAAAACCTTCCTGCCATCGAGGAAAATCTTAGCAATCCCATCGAACTTTCCGGGAGTGTTGAGTTTAATGAATTGCTGTAGCTTGTGCCATCTTCCCCTTTGGAATCTAAAGGCTCCCCTACCAAGGCCATGTCCGTATTGGAAATTACAGTAAATGTTTGGCCTTGAGCAAAAGTCAGGCTTTTGAGGTGTAGGACTGAAACACATCAATACAATATCTCTATTGGTAATGTAATTAGTGCAATACTAAAAATTAGTCATTATTGTATTTGGGCGAATGTGACAGTATGGACTTTAGTAACTTCAACCAATTACAGTGAGTATGGTAATAAAAGATCAAAAAATGGCATGACCCACAATCACATTCGTTAGATTGCCATATACCCCATATATTTTGTTTTATTATTAATTTTTTTTAAGATTTAAAATTGTAAAATTAAGTCTTTACATAAAAGATAATTCCCACTGAACTATCTACGGGTAACAAAGTCATTTTGCAAATATCCGAATAAACGCATGATCAAAGGTATATATTTGATTTTTTCTAAACGCTTTTACACTCGTGAGCAACAAAATATCACAAGATGATGTTTCTGGACTGGTAATATGTATTGTATTTTTATGGGAAGGTCACGCTAGCCAGATTGCAATATAAACTTGAACTTAATCTTCAGTTATTTTACATCGCTCGCTTCGATCGTAAACCATTTCCAAGGGATCTGCAAGTAACATCCCTTCTCTGATGATATTATCAGCAACTTGAGTGATGTTCTTGAAATTAGGCACTTTCCAATGTCATATTATGCTCACTTGTGTCACGTAATTGATTAGACAGGGCTTAGGAAAGGATAACCATTCTTCTTTGAGTTATGGCTCAATATAAAAAGCACTAATTTTCATCATTATAAAAGTCCAAACAAGCGATAATGCATATACCTTTCTGTCATTTCTGCCGAGAATAATTTGATTTGTTGGATTGTTATATTTGGCAAAGTTTATTTGCTTTAGGGAAAGGCCAGTTAAATTACTTGCGAAATTACCAATTGTACCATACGGCATACCTATAAAAGTAGATCTCCCCAGTACCATCGCCGCGCCACATGAACCTTGTAGAAAAACATCTGTCATCCACCGCACCACCATTACACATTCCCTGGCCTCCCCATAGGCCAGGAATCTTTCCTCCTCTCACAAAGTCAAAATTTGGTGCAAAGTAAATGTCATAAGAAAGTGTTCTGGATGTCCCAGGTCTAATTGGTCTAGACTTGAATGATCCGCCGCCTCTCATGGATCTGTTTGGGTTTCCTATATAGCTATTCTGGGGGTAGAAAGCCCGCAGTACTGGGCCATTGCCCGATGGATTAGAAGCCACCTTACGGACAAAAATTGTAAAACTATTAAATGATGTTTATGTGCGGGATGTTTCAGAGAGACGATTTGTCGGTTGAAAGTATAGATTGAAGAGGGGGAGAGGTTAGGGACAAATAGTAGTTTGTGAAATCCTCGGGACAAATAGTAGTTTGTGAAATCCTCGCGAGCTCCTTTTTGATTATTTTAGCTCACTTTAACGAACGTCTTTTTTGACGGTTGTATGGGTGTACAAAAAATAATTACTTGTATAGTTGATCCTCTTCCCCAGTTCCACCTCACCGTACCCCAGTTTCTACCAGGAATGTCTCTTGGGTTCCAGGCCGGCTGTCTCCATAGCACTCTGCCATGCACCACTGTGTAGAATGATAATCATATAATGCGATACAATGCAATACAATAAAATACAATACGAAATGATATGATGAGATTCTACTTGACCAAATACACCAAGGAACTATTGAAAGTATTGAGTACAATGCTTCCAAAGAAATTTTGCAATTTTATATATGCATTTTACAACAGAAAAAACAATGGAACGCACATTAATCTGGTATATGCAAAACATAACCATTCTATATATAATACAGTACATTATCATATCAGACAGTTTTTTATGGCAATAAATTTAGAAAATGTACATACTTCCCCAGAAAGTGGACAGTGGGGTTATTACATACATAGGGTTTGCTTAAGGTGGCAGCATGAACACCCTGTAGCAAATAATATAATAATAAGTCCTCTTAAAAATATATTTAAAATTACATCCAATATTACATTACAATGGGTATTAACTTAATATTGACATACAATATAAAATGATACATTCACCCAGATTTTAATGTTCATATAAAAATATATTACATGCAATTTATAGTGTATATATATGTACATTTCAGCATATGCACTCTACAGTTAATTATAGTTAAATATAAAATAAGATATTGATGTAATTATTCATTCTCCGCCATTCTCTCAGTGTTGTGTATCAGACAGTGTATCAGACAGTGTTGAACAGGGAAACGAAACAATGGAATACAATACACAAAGGACATCCCATGGCCAGTTATCAAAACATGACCCAATACAATATTTCACCCAACTTAGCACTCTTGAATTGAAATGCTTATTGTAATAAGTATAAACTTACCAATGACACAGAAAGACACAATTGTAAACAGCAGTTTCATTGCGGGATTTTAGGGCACACTACTCTCATCGAATTTATCACATTAAATAATTATAGTATTGATAAGAAAGTTTTGGCTCCATGTGTCTGTTTCTCATGGTTGAGATTTTAATCTTGCGCTCTTTTTAGTAAGCAATTACAATAAACAAACGTATTTAATAACATCATCTGATGGAGGAGGTGTCATCCCCTGGACAACTCATGCCTCGAACAACATTTTACTTTGACACCGGGGTTTTAAACTCTCAGTTGCCTGTCTGCTAATGGCAATCGCATTTCACTCTTGACAATGTATTTTTTGAAAAACTAAAAATCTCCTATTGGATAATGGACTAAAACTCAATATGTTAAACTGGGCAATTATTATGTCACCACGAGAAATGGTGACATATTGTTATAGTCTCGGACTTTTTTTGTTCACCGTGGTCGGAAGTAGGCGCGCGTCCGTAGCAAATGACATTTTGCATGTTCACGTCTTGTATATTTAACCTACGATTTGAGGTACTGTCTCTTTGCCTTTTCATATTGTCTGTAAGTAATTTTCAAAAATATTTCAGGATAAGTACTTTTCTATTCAGAACGAGATAATACCTCAATTTAGGATACTGACTGTACTTTAATACGGTTACACATCACACTATAGAAAACTCATTTCCTTTACGACTCATGTACCCTGGAAAAATCACACAATAGAAAAGACATTTAATGAACAACTCATACCCTGGAAACATCACACTAGAGAAACTCATTTCATTAACAACCCGTACCCTGGAAACATCACACTATAGAAAACTCATTTCATGAACAGCCCGTACCCTGGAAACATCACACTATAGAAAACTCATTTCATGAACAGCCCGTACCCTGGAAACATCACACTATAGAAAACTCATTTCATGAACAGCCAATACCCTGGAAACATCACACTATAGAAAACTCATTTCATGAACAACCCGTACCCTGGAAACATCACACTATAGAAAACTCATTTCATGAACAGCCCATACCCTGGAAACATCACACTATAGAAAACTCATTTCATGAACAGCCCATACCCTGGAAACACCACACTATAGAAAAATAATTTCATGAACAGCCCGTACCCTGGAAACATCACACTATAGAAAACTCATTTCATGAACAACTCCTAAGCTACACGAACAACTTATTTCCTAAGTTCGCCCCAATAATTCATTTCTCGAACAACTCTTTAAATTAGTTTTCCAAAGAAGCTCCTTATTTTCAAATTGCCATTCAGTTCTACGGGGACACCCAAATGCCCAAGCTACATTATATGAAGTCTGATGGGCAAAACTTACAATGAGTTAATGTGTTGCTCTTTAAAACAATCCTCTTTGAAAAATGTTTTGGTCATTTACAATTCTAATTACAAATTTCCCTTGTGTTTTATTGACATTCTTCTTAGAATTTCTGAACCATTTATAGTGTAGACTAAAACGAACAATTTATAAATTAAGATAACATATAAATGACATGACTTTGTGTATTTATGTGTAAATAGAAAGGCATAATTCAGGTCCGGATTAACAATGGTCTAGATGGCCGTTCATGTTATTTGATGTCAATGTGATGCCCATGTTCATATCTTTAATATATACATTTAC